CGCTCCGGAGCGTTGCTCGCGAGCGGCTCCCCGTGCATCACTCCGGAGCGGTGCTCGCGAGCGGCTCCCGTGCATCACTCCGGAGCGGTGCTCGCGAGCGGCTCCCCGCGCGGCGCTCCGGAGCGGTGCTCGCGAGAGGCTCCCCGTGCCCTCGGTATCTGAGAATGTAGCAGGAAGCACGGGAAGAAGCAGGCGGTGCCGAGGAGCCGCTGCCGCCGCGGCGCCCTGGCCCCGGCAGGGCTCCTGCAGCCCGGTGTCCCCCGGAGCCTCCAGCGAGGCTGCTGCTGGAAGCAGCGCCCTGCACTGGCCACCCTGCGGAGGAGCGGGTGCAGCCCAGGGTGGCACGCAGGCACCTGTGTCTGCTTCCCTGTGTAAAGCCGTTTTGCACTTGTTGGAATTCACCTGGCTCTGTTTTCCTCCTATTGCACTTACTAAACTGCAGCCCAATGACTTCACTGATGTTCGAGCTATGGGTGGCAGCTCCCGGTGCCGTGTGACCCGGCAGCAGTGTGGGCACCCTGTCCTTGTGACACAAGCTCTAACTTTCTACCCTTCTCTTCCCTCTTCATGCAGCGTGGAGTGAAGCCTAAAAAGGTGGTGCATTTTTTGGCAGTCATCTGCATGTTGCCGAGTCGGCGGGCCGCATGAAGCGCCCGCGGTGCATCCCGCCCGCCCCTCGCGGCCCCGCGCCCCCGGCTGCATGCTTGCCCGTTGCATGTGTCCCCCGTGTGCCGGCCCCGCGGCCCGCAGGGAAAGGCGGCCACGGGGCCGGGAGAGCCCCGGGGGCTGCGGCCACTGCCGCCTCCACCACGTCTCAGCACGCGCCGCGACCTTCCTGCGTGGCCTTGGTTGCCCTCGTCTCCACGCACAGACCGGGCACACGGGCGGTGAGAAACCTCGTGAGGTTCCACCAGGGCGAGTGCAGGGTCCTGCACTGGGGAGGAATAACCCCGGACACCAGGACAGGCTGGGGACTGACCTGCTGGAGAGCAGCCCCGCAGAGAGGGACCTGGGCGTCGTGGTGGATGACACAGTGACCATGAGGCAGCAGTGTGCCCTGGTGGCCAAGAAGGC